AAGTTGTTAATAGATAACAAACATTGCTATTTAAAAATAAAATATATAATGATTTTATATCATAATCTTTATTAGCAACAAAAAATAATAAATATTGTTAAGATATTTATTTTAATTTGAAAATCAGCTCTCTGTTAAATGTTGTTGCACTTATTGGATATATATTTACAATATTGAGAGACCAAAGTTGTAGAATAAGTTCCAAATATGAGATTATATAGTATCTTTTAAATTAATTAGTATTATTATTATTTCGTATATTGTAATTATATAATTGAGGTAGATATTATTTTCAAAACGAAGTACATGACTCGTATTGATTTTATAAATACAAATAGTAATATATAAAAATACTCATTTCATAATTACTCAATCCTAAACTTTCTTTGTGAATTGGGTGTCAAATAGATTTTGTGATCTTCCTTACTTACGAGCAGCAATAACCTTAAGTAGAAAGAAATATAATTCAAATTATCAAGATTACTCAAGGCACGACTATAATTATGTCATCCGTCTACAACACTCAAAAATTCTGTCACCAGTTTACAAATTCGGGCTCAAAATTCCGGTAAGTAAATATCATGTGATAATATAAATGGTTAATTTTGAATGACACACTTTTATATTTGCATACAAAAAAATAATTAATATAAAAAATTATTTGAAGAATTGGCATAATATATATATATATATATATAATATAAACATAATATATTACATTTTTATTAATTTATTAGTAAAAATAATAATAACAATAAATTTTATTACAAATTTTATTGTAACTTCTTGCTGAGTTGTTAATAAATAACAAATATTATTATTTAAAAATAAAATATACAATTATCTTACATCATAACCTTTATTAACCACAAAAGATAATAAATGTTGTTAAGATATTTATTTTAATTTGGAAATTAGCTTTCTTTTAAATGTTGTACTACTTATTCATATATATTTCCAATGTTGAGAGTAGAATAATATCTAAATATGAGATCATATAATATCTTTTAAATTAACTATTATTATTATTTTGTATATTGTTATTATATAATTGAAATAAATATTATTTTCATAAGAACATAATTCAATAACTGATCTTATAAATAGTAATATCAAAAGAATATATACTTTATAATTATTCGTATTGATCTTATAAAATATACAATAATCTTATATCATAATATTTATTAACAACAAAAGATAATAATTATTGTTAAAATATTTATTTTGATTTAAAAATTAGCTATCTTTTAAATGTTATTTTACTTATTCGATATATATTTATCGAGATTCTAATACTGTAGAATAAGATCCAAATATGATCATATAATATATCATCTCATAATAAAAGAAAAATAATATTTGATAAATACTTGACATTATATATTATCTCTCTCTATATATATAAAGAATAATTTTCTTTTGTTAAACTTGACCATATTTTAATTAAAAAAATAAATATAAAATAGATTACAACTATTAACAATAAAATTTATAAAAAAATATTTATATTTATAATAATAATAACAAGAAGTTTATTATATTTTATTATCATATAATAGTAAACAGACATTTCACTATAGTACGATATAATTATAATCCATTCACAATAGAACATGACAATTATTCACAATCCTAAGAAATTATAAATATATATAATATCACAAAAGAGTATATTAATCTCATAATTACTTCTATATAATTTATTACTTACTCATGAAACTCTTATTATTTTGAATGTTGGAGAAATTTTCTCTATTTGAAATTGAATCCTACCTCAACAATAGTCACATTGACGGCAAGTAACATCCCATATTATACAAAAACTTATAATATAGTAAGTCCACATTTTAAAATAAGAGAACAGTTAAAAGTAGAATGTAAATAAAGTATTAAAGTTACAGTCATCCAAAAATGAACCATAATTTAAAAACTTCCTAGTTAACAGAGTATTTCAAAACAAGAGAATAACTACAAGTCCTAGCTAGACTAAGTTGCAACATCATCTTCCTCCAAAGCCTGCTCCAGAGGCACCTCATCCACCTCTACTCACATCCAAGTGAATGATCATTGCAAAAGAAAAGTATACCTAAGCAAAACACAACACAGAAGCAAGGGTGAGCTAGATGGAAAAATCATGTTATAACATTCACACAATATGCAAATAAAGACAGATATACTAGACTATACAAACAGACTTGTTGCACTATAAACTTGACTAGTTCGGACTTAGAATGATTGTCGAGTTATGGCGGGTCATGCACTCGTGGTGGCCTCTACTGTTTTGCAAAGTCATTGCTAATGAGTTTCACCTTACCACACTCACGAGGTTAGTCCATTATCACTCACCTTGGGCCATATTGGAAGCACCCAAGACTAGGACCTCCTGTTACTACTCATGACATGATTTAATCCTCTCTACTTGAGAATGATTGACCATTGTAGTTTCAGGATAACCCCCAAGACTGAACTACCATGCAAATCATTGTAAACACTAAGGACACCACCATGAATATTCTCCTTGAAGATCATGGAATTACGTCCAATAATATAGGACACAACCATGTAACATCCTTTGAGGTTCATGGAATTACGCCCATCAACCATACTTTTGAAATCACATACTTTCAATCATCAAACATGTTTCATACACTCGCATACTTTTAATATAATCGCATTACCACCACCATACTACGCATTCCAAACATTCCACACACTTAATTCAACCAAAAAGAGAACAAAAGAGAAAATTGGACTCAAAGGATTCGCATAGCGTACCCTCACTCGCAAGGCGAATTAACTCGCTGAGGTGTTGTACCTCATGTCCCTCGCACAACACACCCACTTAATTCACTATGCGAATTAACTCGCTGAGGCTACAGGCCTCAGGTCTCTCGCATAACGCACCAAGGTCACTATGCGAAAGCTCAAACAGAGAGCACATCCCCAAACCCTCTCGCTTTGCGCCCATCTCGCTCTTCGAATTAAAATGGCAGTGGTTCTAGACCACCACCAGTCGCATAGCGACATGATTCGGTAGGCAAATCCACAAACAGAGAGCAACACCCTATAGTCATTCACACAGCGCACCATCTCGCAAAGCGAATGACTAAGACAGTAAACACCCTCTACAGGGTCTCGCTATGCGAGACAACTCGCATAACGAGTCTACATAATATGCAGAACACAAATTCTGCAGAACTATGCAACTCACACACACTTTACCAATTCTAGGCACTTTTTATCAACTTCTAACACCCCCAATTCGTGTATTAAGCTTAATTAAACTTGCATAGATGATCCTAACTCTCCTTATTACTAATCTAAAGTGATTAAGATCAAGTTTTATCTTTTGAAACATCAATTTCCAATACTCAAGGACCCAATTTTGATTTTACCACTTTTAACATGTTCTAGTCCAGTTTTATGATCTTAACAAGTCACAAATGACTTGCCTAAGATGTCCCAACAGCCCAAATGTGCCCATAACCCCTACTTCCCAAATCCACCACCTCACTTCCCATAAATTGACCTAAACCACTACCAATTTACTCAAAACAGTGCATACTTACCTTACCTTCCACTTGATCACCCCTTCAACAAAATACATACATCAAACATATCAAATCTCAAATATCACCTCAGCCCAACCAAATCCACAGTCACAAATTTCCAGCATACAGTTTAGTTCATACAATAAATCTCAAAAAAACATAATTTCAACCCAAACAACATGGTCACACAAAGATCAGCACATTTACACATTTCATAATAATAAATTTTAAGAAAACCTAGCTCCCCTTACCTTAGAGTTGAACTGACCAGCTCACAAAAACACTTCAACCGTACCTTGAGTTGTGAGAACTCAACAAAACCCTACAGAACACCACATTGGTGACAGAAACAACTTTTAGAGCTAGAATGTGGTGGAAAATTGAAGAAGATGAAAGCACAAGCCACATGCAACTAACTGAGATTTTATGTGCTAGTTCAAGGACAGAGAAGAGGTTGCATGGAGGGACTTACCAGCTTAGAACCCAAAACGAATCGGATGGTTGTGAGGCCCTCTACGTCGCGGACGTTTGAGCGCCACCTAAACAGAAATCCAATGGCTCAGTAAGGAGAAATGGAAGAGAGAAGACAAAGTTGTGGTAGAAAGAAGACAGAGAAAAAAGAAGAACTGATTTTTTAGAGAGAGAATGAAGTTGGGTTAATGAATCAAGATGTCTGAAAATAGGCTTTTAAATGCAAAGTTTCTGGTTTCACTGACTTAATACCCTGTTATTTTCTAATTCATATTTTCATATTCTTACATCAAGACCAAATTTAATCCGTAAGTTTCATTTTCAATACACATTTATCATTCTCTTATCCTTTTCCTACGTCAGAGGAGCATAAAAAATTTATCCATTCCTTTAGAAGAAAACAATTATCAAAATCTTTTAAGAGATTTACTCCAATGTCAAATAAATTCTTCACATTATTGAAAAAAAAAATTATGCTTCAAAGGTTCATCGTTAAGTTCGTATTTATTATTCTTTTATTTTATATAGTTTAAATAAAAAATAGATAATTTATTCATGATTGTGAACTGAAAACTGATTGACCCATAAGCTTCTTCAGTAGACAGAATCAATTGCCAACACTGAACTCAAAACCTAAGAGAAACACAAAAGCAAGAGGAAATATTATACGTGACAACAAAGAATAGGTCAAGAAAGAAAAGGGAAGAAGAATATAAATATGGCTAAACAACCTTGAATTTTAATAATATAATTTATATATGCAAAATATTTACCCTCTTTATTCCACAATCTAAAACACTAGTTTTCTTAAATTTACAAAATTGTAAACGTATCAATCAGAAAAAAAGATTAAAATAAAATACTAAAAGAAGACGTGAATGTCAATGCTTTCCGAATATTTTTAACAAAACAGGGAAGTTAAATAATTAAATAACAAGATTTAATATTTTAAAAATACAACGAAACAAATGAACACAGCTAAGAGCTATCACTGCAGTGATGTTGTTTAGCGAAAGCTGGGCGGGAAGGGACGGAATCCTTCATTTCGCTAAGCTCAACTTCAGCCACACACCAACTGTTATTCTTATTCTAAAAGTTCAAATCTTTTCGTTTCTTGGATTTGGGAAATTCTTTTTTACAAGCTGAGTCACTGGTATTGTTCTTTGTGTTTTTACAAAATGAAAATTTCCAGATAGTGGCAATAAATTAAACTCCAATTGTATTGCAACACGGCGCCTTGTGATTAGGTTCTTGATCACCAAAACGGTGTCGTCTCGACCAAAACCACCCCTCCCACGCTATGCGCGTGACCCTAATCGCCGACCGGTGCCCCTGCAGGTAGGTCTACTTGAAATTCTCTGTATCGCCGGGGATTCTCTCCGGCTTCACCTTTTCGTCTAAAGCATTTTAATTTTTTATTTATTTTAAAAGCAGTTATCAAAATGCCCTTATCTTTTTTTCGAAGGAACCCCTATTCAGTTTTTTTTTTCCTAAGCCAAAATGGGTTTTGGTTTGTGTTTATTTATATGCATATGAAAAAGTCACATTAAGCCAAGATACAAGGACTAGGAAGGTGGTTGAGGTAAAGACTAAGGTTTGAATAAAATCTTGTAGATTAATAAAACCACTATTCTTCCTTGCTTTTCTGTCCGTCGTCATGTGAGTGGATGAGCTCTAGTGTTCTTGTGTTCTCTCTTTACTGCTTTTTCTTCACAGGAGCAGCTCTATTCTAGAAAGTTTCAAAAGAGGTAGGACTGGGGTGGGTTGCTTCAGTTTGAGATAATTTCAGTATCAGGGGCATTATGGGTCTGACAGATTACAGTGGTACCATTGTTAGTTTAGATTTAGGAAGTTTATCTAGTAATAATTTATTGGAAAATGTACGCTGGAGAGTGAGAAACTGGTTTTTACTTTTGATTTGCCTCATATAAGTCAGTTCAATAGAGTGTACTATGGACCATAAAATTTATCAATAATCGCAACGTTTGAGATTGTAACTATCTTCAGAGTTTGTTGCCTATGCGTCTGATTTTATCATAATTCTCAAAATTTGGAATTTCGCTTTTCTTCTGGAGTACACTTTCTCATCTTTAAAATAACTAAATGCCAAATCACTATTGGTACCTGTTTAATTTTTGTTCTTGGTGTACTCACAAAACGAAGTGTCGTTTCCTATATTTTTATTGTATATAAACTATAAGGAACCTATCACAACATGAAATTGGATGATCGAGTTGGTAGTCCCTACCTAAGCTCATCGGTAAATGGCATGGTTTTACTTGGAGAGTGATATGTCTTAGTAATTATGGGGCTTATATGATTCCTGCAACACGCAGCTTGAATTCATTGCTCTAATATGTAGTCATATAAGATGGAAGCTTGCATTGTCTTATATTCCTTCTTTTGGGGGTACATATTTGAAGCTGTTGCTACTTTTTTTTTTTTTAATTATAATGTTGCTGTTTATTTGCAGGTCTTATTAACAAAGTTTAGAAGCCTTCCACTCTTGTTTGCAGATACAATTAATGCAGTTCTTGAGTTAACAATAGCAAGTAACGTTCTTCACTCCAATTAGTTATACTGTTCCCCTCTCCCCACCTCTTCTGTGTTTATATTCCTAGAGCCATTGCTTAGCATCAGCCTTCTTATTTACGTCATAGAAGCAGACTCCGTTAATAAATCTTAAATGTACTTTAGTCTCAAACAGGAAATTTATAATTATATGCGTTTACTTTTGTATAAGCTCTTTGTGATAGAAAATAGTGTTTTGTCTTCTATACCTACTATCATTTTAGACAATAGCAAATGTATCCTGTTATGTTGTTACAAAGAGAATTTATTTGATTATTACAATATTATTTTGGAAGGAACCCCTTTTCAGCTTTGCCTCTCAAAGAAACAAGGGAAGTTTTTGTTGCAAAAACCAAGGTTTGAATATGCTTCACAGTGCACGCATAGTGTTGTCAGGCCACTCCACCATCTCAGCTTTTGCCTTCAGACTCTCTAGTCCCTCCATTAAGACAACCTCGTCACTTGGTTTCCACATGGAGCAATCTCCTTCTCTAAAGCTAAAACAGTGTCACCAGCCGCATCTCGCCTGTCAAGCGACATCATTGGATGATAATGATGCTTCTCTAAGGTTAAATTTTGCATTTTAAATAAACAGGGGTTGTTTTCTGATTGTATGGGCTTTGATCTGTTTTTCAGCTTTCTTTGACTTTGGCAGATAAATGTAAAATTCTTTAGAAGTTTCTGAAACTGAAAATGACATGAAAAGCCCAAAATTTGGTATTGATGTTTATAGGAATGACGAACCTCCTGTTCATGGACTATCTGAAGTGGTTGTTGGGGTTCTGGGAGGTGGGCAACTTGGTCGAATGATGTGTCAAGCTGCTTCCCAGATGGCCATTAAAGTCATGGTTTTGGATCCGCAAGAAAATTGCCCTGCTAGTTCTCTCTCTTATCATCATATGGTTGGAAGCTTTGATGAAAGCACTAAAGTGGAGGAATTTGCCAAGAGGTTCAAATTTTTGTGTAATTGATATTTTGTATTTGTCATTTTCTATGTCACTTATTGGAAAGTATGATTTTCAGATGTGGAGTATTGACTGTTGAAATTGAACATGTTGATGTTGATACATTGGAAAAACTTGAGAAACAGGGAGTTGACTGCCAGCCCAAAGCCTCTACAGTCAGAATTATTCAGGTGATTATTTTTTATTTTTCTGGATTTTGTGTGTAGTACTAATTAAGAAAATTAACAAGTGGTTAGTTCCATTGTATGCAGAAAGCCTGGTCATTGTAGTAGGATAATATTCACTTTTTCACAAACTTGGTAATTTCAATAATTGTAAAGGTAAGACTAATGTTATCTGAATGGTTTCCTTGACAAGATTATTTAACTTGTTATAGGATAAGTATCAGCAAAAGGTTCACTTCTCCCAGCATGGGATTCCACTTCCTGAATTTATGAAGGTCTGTACCATTTATCTGAGTTAAAATAGTATTTGAAAATTCATCTTTAGGATATTAATTGAAGATAAATTAATAATATCTTTTGAACAGATAGATGATCTTGAAGGTGCTAAGAAAGTTGGGAAACTCTTTGGATATCCTCTTATGATTAAGAGTAGGAGGCTAGCTTATGATGGGCGAGGAAATTTTGTTGCTAAAAGTGAAGAGGAGCTTTCTTCTGCTGTGGATGGTAAGTAGGTCTTTGACAACTGTGTTTTTTCTTTTATTTTCTTGGGAAGGGAAAAACTTGAAAAACTCGTTTGCCCCTCATTAGTCAAAATAAGAAGAACATCTTTGAATTTATACCTTTTACTTTCTTCTTTAACCTGCCTGCCCCCACACCCCCAACTTTGCAGCTCTAGGAGGATTTGATCGTGGTTTATATGCTGAAAAATGGGCACCTTTTGTCAAGGTCAGTGTCCTTTTTTTTTGCTGATCATAGTGATTATTCAATCTATGATTCAATAATTGTATGGTGAAAGGTGATATTACTAGTGCTAAACCAAGAATATCCGAGAGTTATATATATATATATATATATATATATATATATATATATATATATATATATATATATATATATATAGTGGTCAATTTGTTAAGTTCTCATCTGAAAGGTTGTCTCAATTTTTCCTCATGGTTGTCAATCAAACAATAACTTTATTTTCCCCCTAATAATAACAGTTTGCCTTGCATGGATGTGAATTATTTCGTGATGTAACTCATTCCAAGGCCATACAATGCTCACCTCACTTACGAGATTCTTTTTCTCTAATATATCCTTCCTTTGAAAGAATTAAGTTATTGTACTTCATGGTGCTTTCATGCAATTTACTTGTCATGCCTTTCAACCCACAATAGTTTTTTATTTCGTAAAATTTTGCTATATTGTCATGTTATTTATAAGTTTTGTTGACCTTCTTACACATTTTTCTCCTAAAATATTGGCAGGAACTAGCGGTTATTGTGGCAAGAGGAAGAGACAATTCAATTTCATGTTATCCTGTTGTTGAAACTATTCACAGGTAACTTGCAGTACACGTTCATTTTTTTGTTATGAAAGATTTTAAATCAAGATTTCCCACAGATTAAATTAAAAGCCTGGGTGGCTATAATCTCAATAACCTGATTTGCAATGTACTGTTTCAGCTTCCTTATATATCTAATAAAATATATATGTTTGGTTCTAGGGACAATATATGTCACATAGTTAAGGCTCCGGCTAATGTAAAATGGAAGACGAGGGAGCTTGCCACTGAAGTTGCTTTCAATGCTGTTAAGTCCCTGGAAGGTGCCGGTGTGTTTGCAGTTGAATTGTTTTTGACTAAGGATGGAGAGGTTGTTACTTTTCTCATCAACTTTGGACATGCCTCAATGTTTTTTCTTCATTGCTATGTTGACTTCTTTTTACTACTAATTTTCTTCTGCTACAAATACTTATATTTGTTTGTCAATCCGATGTTGGTGATCATGTCCATGTTTTTTCACAGATTTTATTAAATGAAGTAGCTCCTAGACCTCACAATAGTGGGCATCACACAATAGAATCTTGCCATACCTCGCAATATGAGCAACATTTGCGGGCTGTTGTTGGTCTTCCTCTTGGTGATCCATCAATGAAAACTCCAGCTGCTATCATGTACAACATATTAGGTGAAGAAGAGGTACTTTTAACATGGAGTATCTCTCCATTTTATATTCTTTCATATATATGAAATAAAGTCTGTTTTTTCTCCCATCCAGGTTGAAGTGATGCTATTATATTTGTCTGGGTTTAAATATAATAATAATTATTATTATTATATTATTCCATTCAGTTACCGTGACACTTGACCATTAAGTTTACTAAATAATTTTAGGGGGAACTTGGTTTTCAATTAGCACATCAATTGATGAAAAGGGCAATGGCCATCCCTGGTGCTTCTGTTCATTGGTATGATAAGCCAGGTAAACTTGTTAAGCAGTAATTTTAAGTTTGACCACTTCACTCTTGCTGTTTCATCACTAAATAACACCATAATGACGATTTTTCAGAAATGAGAAAGCAACGGAAGATGGGCCATATAACTATTGTTGGGTCCTCCCTTAACAATATTGAAAGCAATCTTGCAATACTGCTGGAAGGGAAAGGCTTACATGATAAGACTGCTGGTTAGTGACAAATACTTTCCTTATTCCACTTTATTTTTGTTGCTAGACCTATGATGATGGTTTTCATAGTCAATGTATTAGAGTTTTGAGTTAGAAAACAGAGAAGAAAACAGATATAACAAACTATTTTGATTTAACATTTTTCTTGTTGAATTTAGTATCCGGACATTTTTCTTGTTGAATTTTCTTTCCTATTGGGAGAACTCTATTATTATGTGTATTATTACCTTATAATAATATGCCATCATGTTATGACTCTGGCAAGACAAATGATTTGTTTCTTCCTCATATTTTACTCAGAACATTGTTCGTATTTAATGAATGTGGAGAATAAAATAAGATTATTGAAATGACAAATTGTACCTGTATGCATGTATTGCTTTCAGTCATCCCTCCTGTGTTTTTCTATCCACTCTCTGACAAATATTAGAAAACTACCTCAAACCATTCTCTTATAATTAAGGAAACTGAAAAGGAGCACTGTATTTGAGAGGTTGAAGTTAGAATTTTGTTCTTATATTATTGCTTTGTTTTGTTTGATAATTGTAGTTCCTCCACGTGTGGGGATCATAATGGGTTCTGATTCAGATCTGCCTGTTATGAAAAGTGCTGCTGAAATCTTGGAGATGTTTGGTGTGCCTCATGAGGTATAATTGTTCTAATTTCCCTGAGGGGGTTGTTGTTTTCTTTTGAGAAACATAAAATACCTTCAGATATATCTTAGAATATTTAAAGTATCTTATATGATGTCTAAGATTTATTCTTCTTTTATATTTTTTATTTATTTCCTTATTTAATTGGGATATTTAAACTTATAGAAATATCTTATTAGAATCAGATTTTTTATGATTTATAGGCATATCATGTCATGTGTATAGGAATAAATATCCTAGTATGATTATCAAAATCAACTCTGTTGCGTAGTACATACACTGTTTTTTCTGTATTCCTTCCATCTATTTTTTTTCGTCTTTCAACATGATATTAGAGTGGAACCATTTTATGTGACATGTATTACCGCTATTTTACTAGAGTTCCCTAAAACAAAAAGAGTGGAACTCTAATCATCACATCTTCTGTTGTCTCTTATTTTCAGCACGGTTGTCACTTTTCATTGCTTTTAATTTGGTTTGCCATTTTATTTGTACTTGCTGTTCACCACTTATCCGTATATACACTCTATGTTAACCACCTTCCCAGTGGATGCATTGACCTCCACTTTTCTAGGGGCAATGACCTGACTTTTACTATATGCATTGGGAAAAAATTGTTGCCATTGTGCATAGGAAATGTTGGAGTCATTGTGCTCCGGAAATGCTGAGACCAATCCATCTGGTAAAAGGCTAGAGTTAGTCCATCTGGGAAAAAGCCTGGGCCATATCTGAAGATATTTTATATTTCTAACGGTTGTGTATGAAATTTTTATTCTTAAATATAAATATGCGTGTCAAATTTCAGGTACGAATAGTTTCAGCACACAGGACTCCAGAATTGATGTTTTCTTATGCCTCATCTGCTCATGAACGAGGCATACAAGTCATTATTGCTGGTGCTGGTGGTGCAGCTCACTTGCCTGGTAAATCATATGAATTTTGCTCTATATAATTGTCTTAAAGATGAGTTGTCTATTGGCATTAAGTAAGCTTCAAATCTCAGGTATGGTTGCTGCCCTCACTCCCTTGCCTGTTGTTGGCGTTCCTGTGCGTGCTTCTACCTTGGACGGACTCGATTCACTCTTGTCAATCGTCCAGGTATTTTTTTCCATTGTATGTGTGTGTGTGTGTGTGTGTGTATATATCAATGCTTACCAATTTTGCGTGCTAAACAAAATTCTGTGCTGTTTTCTTGGGCTGCCTTTCCAGTGACAAGTTAATAATATGTAATATGATTTTTGATTTGGTATTATTGGTTCTTTTTTCACAAGCGGAAGATAAATATTGACTGAAATCTTTCCTAAATGAAGTCTTTTCCTTGTTATTTGGTTTTATTGCTAAGGATTCTTGTATTTTTTAATATTAAGTATTGTTCGTGAATAATGGTTGGGACTGTTGAATGTGTTCTGTACACACTCACATTTCTTGTCACATTCTCCTATCAATTTTTTGGTTCAGCATTGGAGCTGGACTTGGCTCGCTTTTTTTGCCTTATCCCTGCGAGTAACACTAGATATGGTTTAACCAAACAAGTGGAATAATTTTTCATTACAGTATTATGTCAGATTTATCCTCTCTTCTAGGTAGTCGGTTCCGTACCAGTGACCACCAATTAGTGTAGGACTTGAGAAATTACACCGGCTGTGACTTTTTGCAATTATTAAAGCTAATTCGTACACATGTAGATAGTGTTTGGCTCTTATTAGTACCTTTTCTCAAAAGGAGCACTTGAGCTAAATACAATCTTTAAGAATTTCCTAAAACTAACGCGTATTTTTTTTTTTAAAGAATTTGCAAAAGCTCAAAAGTGCAGCTTCTATAGAAGTTACAAAGTCAAAAAGATTGGATCAAACACCGCCACAGTCTTTTCTTGCTGACACATTTGTTGGTTTTGCAGATGCCAAGAGGTGTTCCAGTTGCCACTGTTGCAGTTAATAATGCAACTAACGCTGGATTGCTGGCAGTGAGGATGTTGGGTGTTGCCAACGATAATCTTCTGTCAAGGTTTCCCCTTCTCCCTCTGCCTTTCTGTAAATCTGATGTTAAATCTGTTCATTGAAGTAAAATTCATAATATTGTGCAGGATGAGTCAATATCAAGAGGACCAAAAAGAAGCCGTCTTGAGCAAAGGAGATAAACTAGAAAAACATGGCTGGGAATCCTACTTAAAAAATAGTTAGTTTTCCCCATAAATTTAGCCTCATTTTTGGTCAACTACAAAGTTTTGGTAGAAAAAGATGTCACATGGAAGGTGTGGTATATCAATAAGTAGGTTGAGAAACGTTGGAGCTATATGTTTTATTACCTAAATCTACAGATCTTCTATTTTCTATTGCTAACATGCAGGAAGAAAGAAGGAAAAGTATCAGTATGTAATATGGCTGAAAAGTCTTGTATTCACATTGATATTTACTCTTATGAAAATAAGTCCCTGCCAGTGCCTCGAAATAGATTTGAACAGCTGGAAAGCAAATGACGAGCTAAAATGTACAACTTGTATTTTATTTGGTTTGTGATGCACAATGTGCCACCACCCTCGTATAAATGAGAACAGATTCTGTTGTTTTGGTCCATATTTTGGTTATATGATTCACAACTTTGAACCGACACTGAGCAAGCAAGGTATTGCAAAAGAAATTGACAAATACTTCGAAAAACGAGTGATTTGACTCTTTTTTTGCTGCTAACTGTAACATGGTACGTAAGCATGATCGGTGAGATCATTCGACCTTGAAGTTTGAGTGATATATGTTTGAATTTCTTGTTTCAGATAAGGCACCGAAAAGTGAATCACCGTAAGGTGTGTCAGTTCCAATTTTTAAACGGATTCCACGATTAAAATTACCACTCGTTTATTGACAGAGCAGTACAGCTATCGTATTATACGTCCCGTGATTATTCAGTACTTCTTTCAAATATAATAAAGTTATGAGCAAGCTAAATTATATATATACACACTTACAAAACATCAAATAAGATTAACATTTATCTAATTTTTATTCTATCCTATTCTTATTTTAGTCTTCTGACTAGCTCAACCCACTATTGTAATATTTAATATCAGGATTTAAAACAACCATTTACTTGTTTCAATGTTTGAATATTTAGTGTGTTAAAAATATTAATTAACGAGTGTCCTCGTGATATATAAAAAAGAAACTAAAAAACAGAATATATCATATACCGAGAAGTTATAAAATTTCTTAAAATTATTAGCGATGAGTAAAAAAAATAGGAACTATGGAAGAACACAATTTATTAAATACCAAGATGTTATAAAATTTACTATTTATTGTTAAATTATTAAAAAAAATAAAATTTAAGCCTCTGTTAGCATAAATGATCCAGAACTTGGAAATCTTTTAACTTATTTCATCACTAAATTAATTTTTCATGTCATATAAAAGATTATTTAACAGTGATCGAGCATATCTAATATATTGAAAATTTCGGATATTCTTAAGCAAATATAAAGACTACGATTATGTCACATTAATTAGGAGGCTAGGGGCGGCATGAGCATAAAACAATGATGATTAGTCCTTAACTAAAGATGGATTAACACTCACTCAGAGATTATCATTATGTCACCAGTTAATTTAAAAGAAAACAAAATTTTAAGAATTAAAATAATATAATACATTTATAAATGTAGTATGTAACATCCTAAAAATACAGTATAAACTATATAATAGAATAATTATATTTACCAATAATTCAGATCAGTCTTACACTAGAGTAGAGCGAACGCTTATGGCCGAACGGCCTTACATAAAAGAGTTACAAAATTTACTGCACAGGATAAGCAAACCTGACCGAACGGTTTACAAAAGTTTATACCGAACGGTCAAATAAAAATCAAAAGAGAAGGTAATCAAACGACCACCTTACTATTCTAAACTACTGACCGAACGTCCTATTGTTCGGTCTTCACTTCTACCTCTACCAAATTTTCTTCTTCTAGCGCCTCTTCCAACAGCTCGTCTCCTACTGCTCACATCCACACGGATGATCATTGCAATGACAAAGACGGACGTACAAAACCAGACAACACAGGAAAACACAGGGTAAGTTTATATAATTTAATTCATGCATAAACATACATTTCAAACAATCCAACACACAAGATAAATTTCATCATACGCATCATACAAAGCCTATTACTAGACTGACCGTCCGGACTGTATGAAATCTCTGTAGCTACAGGCGTTCGTGCACCCGGGTGATGTAGTAACTGGGATACCCTCAACAGCTGCCACCCGAGGTTAAACCTATCTGTCCAAAGTACCCCTAAGGACTAGGACCTCCTGTCGTTCCCACACATGACCTACCCTCCTCTACGTGAAGACGAGTACTCACGGAACATCAGGATGAACAGCCAGCTTAGCAGGCCCATAGTCATACCTTACCAATTTCAATATTCATACATGAGTCGTTCCTCCACGGAACGCTCGTCCATAATCCACAACATTTCCATATTACATTTTCTTCATCTTTCATTAATAAGTATCTCATTTAACCACCTCACACAGAGATTTATACGAATTCTAAGTAACGAATGTTCAACCCGAACTCAGAACGAGACCAAACACGTAGAGTGAAATCGCGAGGTCTCAAATTTTGGAATAGATTACGAACAACAGGTTGATATCGGGTTGAGAAAGATAACAAGCACAATCATATATTCCAAGAAAACGAATGGAACGAACGTCAATTACAACACTGAGCCAATTCGATGAACTGACTCTTGAGAACTCCATCAGAACATCAAAAGAACAAACCAAGAACGAGGACTCCAGAATGAAACCAATGAAGAGGGATATTTCAAGGCATTAAAAACTAATACTCAGAATGATTCACATGAAAGACCGAACACTTGTGAATACTTAGTTTAATTAAGTTTAGTATCAAGAAATCTGAATGCCAGTTAAAGACTGAACACTATAGTGAGCGAACCCTAGAGGGCTTGAACGAGCGCTCGTATTAGAAAATTTAGCTTAAGGAGATAGAATGAGTGCCTGGTGTAAGACCAAACACTTGCTTAGGACGAACACTTGGTATAATATCAGGTGATACTAAACTTATAGAAAAGAGGCCTGATAATTATACTAAGATACTATTGGAGTAGTATTTAAGAATAACTAAAATATAAAATTTCATATATATATGTATATATATATATATATATATATACATACTTAAGTTTATAACAAGATATCAAGAAGGAACTATGCTTGGTCGAACGCTCAAGCACAGTATTTCGAAGTACAGACACTCGTCCTCAACTAGGATTCTTCCCGAATGAAAGAATCCACTACTAACCAAATTCACTAGAAAACCGAACGGTCAAGGACCGTTCGTTAACGTACGTACACTTTCTTAAGGAAATTTCATACCAGGATCATTGACATTCCAAATCATTTCTTAAGAGCTAATTTCATAACTTTATACCTTCATATAAAAATTTATTTGCATACTTCATACAATCCATAAATCAGTAAATAATCATATTCATACTTTATAAATCATATTCTACATAAACAATCATATCAGCATTCATACTTTATATACATTCAACCACTCAGCAACACACATTCATTATCAACGAACGAGCAAAGAATCATACAATTAAATTAGATAAGCTTCCCTTACCTCTAGTGTGAACGATCGTCCTAAAGGCAGATTTTGGTTCGTTTGACTACAGATCTTTCTACTCTCAATGCTCAACAACTCTTCAAACTAAACCAAACAACATAAAATTAATAATGGCTCAGTCCAGATGACAGCATGCAACCAGAACTTGGTTTGCATGTACCAAAAACAATCGGCTAAAGACAAGGAAACTTACCAGTTTCAGAACTCGAAACTGTTCGGTTCAAAGTGAAGCTTGGGACGTCGGGAGTGCTCCTACGGTGCCTGAACGGAGATCGGAGAAGAGAAATGGTGAGTTTTGGTAGAGAGAAGGGAGAGCTTTTAGAGAGAAGGAGGAGAATTTGAGAAAAATCAGATTTTGGAGAAGAAGATGCATGCAGAGAGAGTGTGACGCGATTTTCAGAAAATTTTGTTTTGTTAAAATCGAACCTCCGCTCCTCTGCTGACACTTACATTCCACTATCTGATTTCTGATCCTCGTTGTTTAACACCTTACATCCGTTCAGAGGAGTTTTAGATGCGTTTTTAATGAGGTCTGACATAATATGTAATATATTAACATTTCAAATTTTATTTAACAGTCTTTAAATTCTTAATGTCATAGTAATATATCGTGTGGAGGCCGTTAGATTTTTTCGTTTTGGTATTAATCCATTATTATATTAAAGTTTTGAACAGATATTTATATTTTAAAAATGTGTAATATAGTCTAGTCTTATAAAATATTTACTCGGGCCTACGCTAATTAAGTTCCAATAAATTTGACGAATGCTCATAAATATGTAATCTCTGTTTAATTACAAAAACTTATTGAGAAGTTTTAAGTAGTTCGAATTATTTGTTTGATTATTAAATAATTAGATTAACTATTTAAGAACTTCAAAATGAAAATATCCGTTCATACTGTGCAATAATCAATAAAAACGGAGTAGTTGTTAATATTTCACAATAAAAAAAACAAAAAGAAATTGACCATGACTTTTCTCAACCCATGTTTTACTTCTTTATTTTTTCTCAAATAGTTTGTTTTTATTAGAAAGTCTCACGCGGAATGATTTTCTTCTATTTTAAAACATTCTGTTGACTTTTTTCTCGACTCTAAACAAAGTATTTACTGTTACGATGTTTTAAAGAATTAATTAATTTGGATAGTCAAAATTTTGATAAGTATGAATGATGTAGTTAAGTAGTTTACTAGCTTAGGGTTGATCTTGTACAATTTTTAATTATAATTGACATTTTCGTAACTCTGAAAGTAAACCAAAGTAGGTCTAGGAAAAAGATTGAAACACTACTTTGTTTAAAATTATCATCATGTATTTAAATTTTTTATTTCGTTTCTCCTGATCTTATATATATATGAACCTGTTAACTATTGTTATATATTAAATTTTTAGATCCGCAAGTGTGTCATGAAAAAAGAAAAACCATCATTACTGTATAGTAAATATGAATTGTATAATATACACATGTTTTATCTTGTTTCGTTTCAATCCCATATAAACGACCATAGAATACAATGTTATAATGATTGTAACACCAAAAAAATTACTAGACAAAATCTATTGATAATAGAAATTAGTTAATAAATTAAAATTATTGGTAAATTACTGATAGTAAAAGGTTATTTGTAAAATTTTACCGATAGATAATAAAAATTTATCAATAGTTCTTGATAACCAGAATATGTGGATAATTATTCATGGTTAATATGTGGATAATAATTTGTCAATTGTTAATAAATTTTGATTATCAATAAATATAATAATTTGTTTTTTGTTTTTTCTATTCTTTTTTTATTATTGTTATTGTTGTTGTCGTCACATCTCTTTCTCTTTTAATCGTTGATGCTTTCACTAATATTGTTGTGATCTCAGTCACTATTTTTACCACAGTTATTACCTTTATTT